AGTCATATGCTTCATTTTGCCAACCTAGCAGTATTTTTTTTTCCTGGTATTTTTATTTTTGAGCAAATTAATTCCTGTGGACACATGAGGCAAGGACAGATTGTTACAGCTGTGGAATGTCTGGAAAACAGTTCACTCCGAATCAGGATAGTTTTGCAATTCTGTCAATTGGAAATACTGCCATTGAGTGAAAAATGAAGAACATTTGGGGGGCCATGAGCTAAAACTCAGAAACGTGTCACTGTCCTGAAAAAGAAGTGTACATGTATACCCTTAGGAATTAAGAACTGTTGGACTTGGGCTTTTCTGGGTAGTATGAGGCTGGTAGGAAATAGATGAAGAGAAAAAAGAAGTTTGAGAAAGACACAAGAGGAGCTAAAAATGAAATCCTCAGTTGCAGACCAGAGAATTTGTTAGTCTGAGAAGAAATGGTTTGTAGTCAGATGATAAGATGACAAACTTATTGGTTTATCAATACAGAGAGGATGACTTTTATCTGATATGTCCTGTGTTCAGGAAAATAGGACCATATAGTTTTTGATATAACAAAAATATATCTACATGTGACTATTTCCTTGCTTAACTAAAACAAAATTCTGAATTCACTTTGGCCTCTTGTGTCAATATTTAAATATAAAAGAAAAATTAATTAAAATTAATTATCTGCTAGTAATAGAAATTCTATTAGCAACAGGAAAGATGCATATCTCCTTTTGCACTTAGTCTTTTGCTCTCCTTAATATATTTCCAACAGAAACAAGAAGGAAATTTGTTGTGTATGCAGACAGTAAATGACTGAATTGTCAGAATGGATCACAAAATAGGGGAGTCTTTGTATTTCATCATTTTCTGAGCTGTCAACCATTGTTAAAGCAGAAATGATAAGAAGTGTAGTGTGTTGTGGCAAGGAGGTGGAAGAGATGCAAGAGTTGCTCTTCCATCTAGTCCATTAGCATGAAAAGGACTTTCTTTGCTTTTAGTTTCAAAATACTTAAAAGACATGGAGAATCCTACATGTCAGGCCTGCTGTTAGAGTGCAAAAAACACTACTGAACCTTAGGATGCTGTGATTAGGAATACTGTGAGCTCTGTGAAGTCATTTAGAAAAGATGGAGCAAAAGAGTTAAATGCAGGAGGTGTAAAAATGAAAAGATAAGCCAAATTTTAGTGTGTATGTGTCCTTAAAAGAAAAACAACAACACAAACAAACCAAACAAAAAAAAATAAATAAAAGAAAACAAACAAACAAACAAACAAACAAAAAAACACAACAAAACAGTATTTGATTATCTATGTAACAGCACTCTCAGCAGCTTTTCTTATTTCTATGTGATCATGATAATAGAGCTTCTGTGCAATAAATGTTAATTTGTACTGGTTAAAGCACCTAATTTTGACTTTTTATCTTTTCCCAATTTTGTATCCATTCTGTCATTTTTTCTTAGTTAAAACTGCTACAAAAAAAGATTAAATCAAGGTCTTTGTCGTACTATATTTGCTGGGCTGTCTGTGCACTTCTGTCATGTTACTGGGCTGGAATATGTGAGGTTAGATTGATCAATGTTGAAAAATATTCCCAACTTGCCTGAGCATTTCTTCACAAGCCAAATGGAAGGATCTGAATTTTATGAGTTCTGTTCTTAGTGATATATGTTACAGAATTCGTCAGTGAACACAGTAGCTTTTTGTGGCCAGAAGGAAAGCAAAATCATGAGGATTTTCTGCATGCAGCTGTCTATCATAACTTCTGGAGTAATGATTATGGTGCTTAGCAGATACTTAACATATAAGGAGTTAGTTTCATTTAATCACCAGTATGGACAAAAGGAATTTCTGGACCGGAAAAGTACTTTTGAACCAAGAAGGTTCTCCTTTCAGTTTATTGCAATCCTTACTGCCTGGTTTGTATCTACTGTATCCTTCAATCCCTTTTTCTCTTTCTCTCTCGCCATAAAAATGTCTAAGTATCTTTTAAACTCATCTATATCATTTACTTTGATGATTTCACTTGGCAACTCTCTCCATGTGCTCAGTACTTTGAGTGATATATTGTATCGGAGTCCTAACTAAATTCCCTTTTTATTCCTGTAGTGTTTTATTTATTTATTTATGTTGCAACCAGACCCATTTACTAGGGCAGATATATTCCTATTTACTTTGTCTAGCTTTTAAAGAATTTTGACTAAGAATGGCACTGTGTTACCTTGAACCATGTGCTCTGTTATTTACTTCATGTTTTCCCCCGTAAGTTCCCTCAGTTTAGAATTGTCTGCTCTGCTTTGCATCACTTCCTTGCAGCAAATTCTGACCAGCCCTGGTAGGAGTGCAATGGATTAGTTCTTTGTCATCCCTGTCCTACTGCTCACAGAGGTCAGAATCTGCCCCAGATCCTATTTGGGCAGATATAGGAAGAAGTTGTAGTAGAATTACCTTCCAAATTCATATCCTGTGTCTGTTGCCATTGATTTTTGTTCCTTCTCTCCCCTATAAATACATATAGACTCAGTTAGTTTGCATACCTTCCTTTAATAGGATCTGTTTTATCTCACACCTACAAACATGTAAATCTTTCTTGTAGACATTGGTGTTCTTTCCAAATACAGGTGGTCTCGCTTTTCAAAAACCCTACCCAGCTGTAGCTTTTCTTGTTGCTCTGATGGCTCTACCTGGCTGATGTGGAAGCCCTCACTCAGTTCCATCCTACTCTTTCTGTGATTTTTTTTTTTAATCTTATTTTGCACCCTCTTTAATTACTCCGGTGTTGCCTCCAGAGAATAACAAGGGTGTCTGTGCTTTCTGATGCTCAGATACACAGATAGCACGTTCCCCATGAGTATTTGACAAGCAGAAGATGCAACCGGCCACATTCTGAGTTGATGAAGATAGGTACCATAGGTAACATTTGACAAAAAGCTTAGAAAATAAATAAAATATTACTTTTTTTTCTATGTTTCAAATAATTTCTTTGCATTTCAAGAGCATATACCTAGTCTTGCTCAATTTTATTGTAGCCATAGCTGACTGAAACATTGTGAATGAATATTTTGAAAACTGACTAAACAAATGAGTTCAACTTTTTTTCTTTTCACTTTCATATTACAGTAATAATAAGAAATTTCAGACAGTAAACTGTAATGTCTGAGGAGCATATATGGATGGCATATACACTTACATATGCATAGTCCTACTTTCTTTTGCTCATACATTTTCCAAGCCTAACATATAATTAAGTTCCAAATAGTCACTTAAATTTGTTAACATGTATGTAAACATGATTTCCTATTGTGGTTAGCCTTCTTTTCATCTGAAGTTCTCATTTGCTGAATTCATTTGCTGCTGCTTTTTAAAAATATTTTTCTCTTCTGTTAACATTGCATTTTATTCCTATATCTGTGATATTTATTTATTTTTAAATTATGTCCTCAAAAAGTATTTGATGCTGCAGCACCTGCATTCTTGTTTAGTTCTTACTTTCTTTAAAAGGCACGGTTTATTTATTTATTTATTTATTATTATTTTTTTATTTTTATTTTTTATTTCATTCCCTTCTTTGGGCAAAACAGAACGTATGCATGTTGTAACTTATCACAGTGTTTCAAATAACTATCAAAAAATCATAGTTTGAGAGTAAGACAGTCTTCAGATCTCCTTTTTGTAACACAGGATTGTAATAAATTCTATAGAGCCCACGTACACACTCTTCTAAAGTTGTTGCAAACTTGTGCAACGTAGTCCAACAGTGACAGGACAAGGTGTTATTTCTTTTTCCTGTAATAAGACTCAATGCCAGACCAAGCACAGTAATTGTTCTTCATCTGTGTAAAATTTTGCTTTTTCTTTATGCTGCTGTACAAGTCTGACTTGGGTCATTGCTTGGACAACAAGATGACAACAAGATGACACTAGAAACTGATACTAAAATTACTTAAGTATTTAAACCCTTTAATTTGATTCAGTTCTGTATTAATGCTTCTTCATGTGCTAAGGTTCATTACTGGACTGAAGAAGCCCTTCTAAAGGTAAAAGGTCCTGGATTTTTCTGAACATTTTAAGTTGTTAAGGAATTCCTAACGCTTGTCATAAAGACAGACTTCTTGTGTTAATGGGGTGTTGTGTAGTTCATAGATTCTTTTTGTTGCCACCATAAGTGGGTATTTCTAGGATATGGGCTTTCCTAGTAGAAGGCTGGAAAAGCTGTGTACGTTATCCCCTTCTTTCTGCCTTTAGGCTTTGACTCTATTAGAACAGTATTCTTTTTGCACTTGTTCGTAGCTGAGTATGACACTGTAGGATATACTAAGGATATTGAAGCATTGCTCAAATACATCTACTGCAAAAGGTATTATGACATTCAGCTGCAAATCCTCACTTTCTGACACTGATGCTGCACAAAGTTAATTGCGTAAGCTAATTTCCTATTGGCATACCTTTGCTTACTGCCTGATAATGGGGGAAACAACTGTTTTCCTCTTGTTCTTTCTGAATTATGTAGTGGGAAAAAAAAAAAGTTGTAGTTTGAACTTCCACCATTTCGTTGTGGATATCCAAAAATACAGAAAACTAATAAAGTAGAAAATTTTGTAGCTGAAATGATTATTCTGGAAAGGATTTTGCAGTAAAATACTCAAAAATAGTCACTTATTTTGGCTTTTCTTATTGAATTACAATCTTGGATATTTTTCTTTTATACTTGAAGGAAAAGCAATATATCTGTAATTTTCTCTCTCTCTTTTTTAGAAGTATTCAAATTCATTCAACTGTTCATTTTTGACTACTGAAAAATACTCAAGAAAATAAAATTGTCAATGTTATATTCTGTTAGTAAATATATTTGAATAAGCTAATTCTTCATTAGAAGACTATTAAATTGACTTTAATATGGGGACTGGGAATCAAAAAGTTCTTTGACTCCCAGTGTTCTCTCTCCTGCATTGTCTCTAAGCTCTTAGTGAACTTATCCTCCTAAAAATCTGAGAAAAATCCGTTTTCATTATTTTAAGGTGGAAGTCACAGAAGAAAAACAAACCCAGTTCCACAGTGCTGGTTGGGCACATGATTGCTTCTGAAGACACTGGTTTCCTGGAGAGTTTGTAAATTCGTGTGGAAGTGGCCTATCCAAAGCAGTCCATGATGGTTTACAGCCATACATTCACATCTTTCAGCTTATTAGCCTTTAACCTACTGCTTAACCCACATATCATCTGCAATGCTAACTGGTAGAATTTTCTCTGGGTTTGCTTGAATTTCCTGCAATATTAAAATCCAATCCAATGACCACTGAAGCTGTTGGTCAGGACTGAAGTGGTTACCAAGTGCCACCACAGAATTTCAAAGCAAGGATGAACCAGGGAGTTGGTATATTATTATGCATTGTAATAAGAAAGTTATGAGATGATTTAAAGTGGGAGTAGATATTAAAGAATGATCATTTTAATACATTATTATTAATACATTAATAATACATTATTATTAAATGCCATAACTTCTATGCTTTTGCCAAAAAAAAAAAAAAAAGCTATTACAGTCATACTATCTAGTGTACCTTTGAGCAAGTTTTCAAAGCCTAAATCCCTTTATTTATCTACCAGTGCAATCTGTTGGTACTGCTTTTGCACATACTGTTTCCTAAGAGGAATTGTCTAACTGGCTTTTTATTAAAATAAATAAATAAATAAGATCTTTATCAAAATGTTATTTCAAGTTTTTTTGCACTACTTTTTACAGGACAGTAGCAAAAATCATTTCAACATAGAGGAATGGGTAATGAAGGTGCCCAATGAGGTCTTATCAAAATGCTCTTTTGTGAACTGTTAATATTCTACTGGCTGTTACTCAACATTTTGGAAACCAACTACAAACATTTCCATTGGAGTGGAAAGAGAAAAACAAATGTATTTGTGTCGTTTCTAATGACATGAGCCCCAGTAATTCTATCTGGCTGCTTCTTATCCTGCAGACATCTGAGAAGTTCATCAGTTTCCTAAACTTTTACATACCCCATTGCAGTAGTTTTTACAGAATTCAAAGAAACTGATTTAACACTTGTTTTGTTTGTCCATTTGTTTTCCTCAGGGACAGTTGGAGGTCATTGTTCAGCTGTACTCATTTTGTAAATAAATACTGAATGAGGGCTTAAACTTTCCATGCTATAGGTACTGTGAGTTCCTCACTATCTTTCTGGTGTTGACAAAATCCAGTTATATGCCACTGTGGAAGATTATTGGTAACTTTGTATTATTCTTGTTTTTAATCACATATTTAAAATCTTTTGTTATATGTAATTGTTAGATATTAGATTCCGATGAGGTCTATGTTGTTCTGCCTGCCTTTCCAAACTGAAAAAAAGATATAGCTTCTGTGTTGATACACATAACCAACTTAGAAATGATGCATTTTACACAGCCAGTGCCCATGTAGTCACTTAACTTTCTCTCATGAGAAAGAGGAAAAGAAAAAAAAAAAAAAGCAATGCTACACTTTAAAATAGTCTTCCATAGCCATCCATTTAAAAGTACTTAGAAATAACAAGCATTTTTGCAGACAAGCAAGGTAATAAGCTGTGCTGAACTTCAGAGGTGAAAGAAAACATTACTGTGTGGCCTCTGTGTTCTGTGTACACTGTATTTCATTTTGAAAGGTAATGGAAATGGCTGCATAGCAGCAAATTTAGACTATGTACAGCTTCCATCTGTTCAGTGAACTTCCACTGTTGCTGAAGGGAGATAATGTTTAATTCAAGAATATGGTATATATTTCTCAGTGACCAAAAGTAATTGCAATTAGCATGTTTTTCATGTGCATCTTGTGTGATTAGTTTCATGGTATACCGCATGCCATATTTTCAGCTATTCCAAAGGTGGGGTTAAAAATTTCTTTGGTTTAAGAAAGCCAAATAGTTTATGGTTGAAGATAGCAATATCCGGTACATAGCATAGGTACACCACATAGCACTATCCAGTAAGATACAGTTTCCTTGTATAGTCTACAAAGCAAAAGCTCAGTACGGAAAACTCTAGAAAGGGCTATGCAGAATGGCATCAGAATTTTCCCTCTGAAAATCATTCTTTAAGTTTCCTCAGAGAACACATATCATAGTTTAAATACTGTTTTCCAGTTGAAAAATACTGTGTGTGACCGACATCTTAACTTTGTCTACAGAAACAGCATTTAGGTTCTAGCTAAGGCCTCTTATGCACCATTGCAGTAAAAAATCTCCTCTAAAACTTAGGGTGATGAATATGTACTCTCTCAATAATAGTCAGAGTGTGTCTAGTAGGTACACAACTCCAGTTAGCTGTGTCATCTCCTGCTTTGCAGACAGAATTGTGTTCATTCATTTCTCAAATTTTCTGCTCTGAAAAGCAGCAATCCTCACTGAAATGAGAGCCCTGAGATGTCTCTTCATTACCTTTAGACCTCAAATCATCTCCCTCTCTTACCTCGAGATAGAGATGTGCAAAGTCACTGGAATTGCCCTCTCTTCTTGCAGGTTAGGTTTTCTGAATTTTATTTCTGCCTGTGAGACCTATGCCTGACTTGCTTTATGAAGTGCTGTGAGATGCCTTTTTGAGCTTTCAGGATGTGAAATACCCAGTGTAGTGCAGCTGAAAGAGGTCCTTTTGGTTCTATAGTATTTTTAAATTTGAACTCTGTGGATACTTAGGTCTTTTCAGCAGCATTTGAAAATGCTTGCCTAAACACAGGTGTGGAAGTACTTGCACTCAAATTTCATGAAGTACCAGGTGTTGTCATGTTCCCAGGTAGTGGAAAGATCCTCTCATTGCTGTATTACATATTATTTTGGGGAGTACAGAGACTTCACAGTGTCACCCAGTGCAGGCCAATTTGGGCCACAAATACATGGAACCTGTTTCGGTCTGCTGGTAAACCCAAGATGATGAACATCCCAAGGGGAGCAGCAACAAATCTTTTTTACTTGTTAGGTGCAACACAGTGTTGAATTTGTTGGGCTCGGGCCAATTCCTGAAAACCCACAAGGGAAGGAACTGCATCACATTTACCTTCACTACAGCAAATGGTCTTATTAGGATGTACATACCAGGTTTGTGATAGGTTCATGTTTCTGTGCCACTCTGCATCCATTCTAATGTGAAATTTAGAACAAAGTGGAATGGAATAAGTCTGTATACAGCAAACCCAGAGCTCATAAACTTAGATGAGCCTGTCCCAATTCCATGTAGGAGCACAGGAGAGTTGATGCCCTCAGTATTCTAGTGCTCTGGTTCTGGGAAAACACTGCCAAGAGCATTTGAGTTTTCTATGTATGGAGACAGATTGGGATTGGTAGGTTATTAGATTTTAGTTGGAATGCAAATGACTGTAGACCTCCAGGAGCCAAATTTGGATTCAGTTTGGTAGCACTTACCTGGAGACTGATACCTAACAGACTCTTTCAAGTGCCAGGTTTCTTGCATCCAGGTGTGGATAAAGTAACCATTCTAATGTGAAAGGTGAGCAACCAGATATATTGGTAGAACATGCGCATTCACAGGCAATAATATTCAATAAATACATGGAATAGTCAACATGTATAATTTTTATTAAGAATACAATCTCCATGCTCAAATGCTACTGCTGTGATAGTGGAACTTAATGACATATGTCTGATTTACATGAATTTTAGGATTTTTTTCCTAGCACCTTCCTTAATTTCACATGTGTTATGAGGTCATAAAAAAAAGGCTCAGTTGAAATAAATATACACAGTGGGACAGAGTTAAAGTTTCTGTAGGAATGTCAACTGTGAATTTCCTGCTTTTGCTGTTGTCAAATTATGGAATTAAATATTTCACTAATGATCAGTTTTTAATTAAAAAAAAAAAAAAGTAATTATGAATAATTTGTTAAACGTAACCCTTTAAACACAGGTACCTCTGCAATAGCCAGCTTTTGCCTGTGTAGAGTCTAAGGGATTTTCTTTCTAACTAAAACATCATTCTGAGCTCTTACTGAACTTGAACCAAGAATTAAGTTATTACTTCTGCCGAAGAAAGTTGATGGTCAACAATAACAAAATCAATGAATGTCTATGAGCCATATATATATATTTACAATTATATACAGTTACAAGATAAAAGGAGCTATAGGTTGTTGTGGAAAACTATCCTTTCAGTAGGTTTACTAACATATATTTTAAGCAATGTATAAGATTGTATGCTAAGGATATAATTTTTAGATTTCCTTGTTAGAAATAAAAAATTTCTCAGAAATTAATTTTTCTCAGAAAAGTTGTCTAGTGATGACCATTTCAGTTTCTTTGGATGTCATTTTTGTGTTTGTATAGTGCTTACCTGGACAGCGGGATATTTCTCTTAATCCAAAGAAAATATATTTACTTTGATAAGAGATATGCATCAAATTACAACATAATGAAGAGGGAACAAGAATTTTCATGTAGAAAATGCACCTTACTGGAAGCATACAAGTGAAAAAACAAAGCACACACACACACACCTGGAGTATGTGTTCAGCTCTGGGGCCCCCAGCAAAAGAAAGACATGGACCTGTTACAGCACGTCCAGAGAAAGGCCACAAAAATGATCAGAGGTCTGGAGCACTTGTCCTATGAAGAAAAGGTGAGAGAACTGAGGTTATTTAACCTAGAGAAGAGAAGGCTCCAGGGAGGCCTTATTGCAGCCTTTCGTTACTTAAAAAATAAAAAAAAAATAAAAAAAAAAAAAAGGGGGAGAGACTTTTTAACAGGGTCTGTAGTGTTAGGACAGGAGGTAGTGATTTTCAACTATAAGAAGGTAGATTTAGATTATATATTAGTAAGAAATTCTTCATTATGAGGGTGGCGAGGCACTGGCACAGGTTGTCCAGAGAAGTAGTGGATGCCCCATCCCTTGAAGTGTTCAAGAACAGGCTGGATGAGGCTTTGGGCAACCTGAAAGATGTTTCTGCCCATGGCAGGGGGTTTGGACTAGATGACCTTTTAAAGATCCCTTCCAACATAAAGCATTTAATGATTCTATGAAAAATACTTTTATGTAATGCAGACTGTATTCTGTGTCCTGTGTTCTGTTGTGCTTTTATATCCAGATATTCAGTGCAGAATGCCAATTCTCCAAATAACAAGGATGAAATCTGCCCTCAGGAAAATAGTCAGTAGAGACTGACTTTGGTGTGACTAGAGCTTCAGCCAGAAAAATTGAAAATTCAGATTGTGCGATGTTACATTATTTGATATTATAGATAAGCATGTGGATATTGGGCCATAGAGAATAGATACTGCTTGAGTAAGTGTTCTTTTAAAGTTACTTAATTGCTTTTAGACCTTCATCTTCACTATGGGTTGAACCTTACTTGAGGTACCACGTGAGCTTGTCTGGCATAGACCCCCCCCCCCCTTTTTTTTTTTTTTTTTTTTTTAAATCAAGTCATTTAAAAAAAAAAAAGGCTTTCTGATAGGAAGATAAACTTGTGGTTCAAATCAGTTTTACCGTGGCTCTTCTGGTAAGCCACGGACCTGCTGTCATTTGTTTGCACTCATGACTGAGGAGGAGACAAGTCTGAGCATACACAGAGGTTCTGTTAGAGTCCAGTTATTGAAACTTTCCTTGAAACCATTCCCACATTCACATTTTTCCATTGTGTATAATATGTGAAATGACCCCATTGTACATGGAAAGCTGGTGGAGACAAGACAGGAGTAGATCCTCCCCCTCCCTCTC